CAATGGGCTTTAAATATATGATGTGTATGCTGTGTCAGAAGCTTGTTTGTTTTAAGAAAAATAAAAGGGCAGGGTCCTTACAGCAGTGGAAGTGCTGGGTAGATGCCCCTCTGTGCTGAATAGTTACTTCAGGACTCCCTGTTCCTCATGGGTGGGCTAAGCAAAGTTAGTGTTTGCAGCTCCCCACTGTGGCCGTGCTCTGAGGACCTCTAGAAAGGTGACTGTGGGGAAGCACCGTAGGCTAGCTCGGGAGGAAAATTCCTCCCACCGGCTTTTTTTAACAAGTTTCTATTTCCCCCTGTCGCTTACCCTGGCAGCGAGAAACAATCTAGCCCCCGGAGTTCCAGGTTAGAGATTGACACGGGACCCTCTGTGGATGAGCCGCTCCCTGAACCCGCCAGCAGGTAGGAGAAGGTGTGGCAGACAGACCTCTTCCCAGGAAGTGGCAGCATCTCAGCGCTGGCTGCGTGGTGGAGGATGACGGCACCTGTAGGAACGGTTGCATTCCACCCCAGAGATGGCTGTGCCTGGGCACCTTGGGGCTGGATCCGTCTTATAAGCAGACGCTCTTTCTCTCTCTTTCCCAGGCTGCGGATGAATTCAGATGCGGGTGGTGGGGGTCGCCAGCGTGGTGGAGGGAGCAGCCCCATCCGCAAGCTGGCATCGCCCTTCATGGATGGGGGCCGCCTGTCCTTCCCCCTCCTGCAGCCTGCCCACTCCAGGACCTTTCACCCAACTGAAAGGTGAGAGCAATGAAGAAGAAAGCAGGGGTAGGTGGGTGAAATTCCCCGTGGTTGCAAATGTACGTTAGATGGATAGCCATCTCTCCATGTATGATCTAGTTGAGATTCCTGCATTGCAGGGGGCTGGACCTTCCAACTCTACATTTCTATGACTCTTGTATTGCCAGATGTCAGGGACTGGCAGGGCTCTGAGGAGTGTGTAGCAGCAGAGGCAGGGGAAGGGCTCTGCCATTTGTGGGGTTTTGTGCCTCCCACGAGGCAGGAGTCGGGACTGGAGGAAGGGGAAGAGGCTGAGCAGTTGGAGACAGGGGAGGAGGTGCAGAACACTCCAGGAGCAGAGGAAGAGACAGTTCCTGAGAGAGGTGGCTGGTAGAATCCCCAATCCCCTCCGTCTTCTTCCCTGCTGTCTCCAAGGACCAGGAGGGGTTCGAAGAGGCAGGCACAGTGGCAACATCCATGTAGGAGAAGCCGCAGGCTGTTTGCACACATCCTGTCAGGCAAGAGTACCTAAGTTTGGGTGGAGATGTGGCCACCATTCTGCTCAACAGCTTGGAGCACTAGCCTGGGGAGGGGATGCCAGCTGCTTAGCCACCAGAAGCGTACGTGAGTGTTTGGTGCACCTTAGGAGCTACCACAAGTTCATGCTTTGTAATAAAGAATTAAACTGCTGTCTGTCTGTCCTCCTTCAGCTGGGTGTGCTCAGGGCATCAGAGCAGTGTGTGAGGCTGCTCTAGTAAGGTCCGTGGGAAGCCCTTGCCCAGGGCAGAAGAGAAGGAGGTGGGTTGCTTCTCATTAGAATCATAGAATTGTAGAGCTGGATGGGACCCGAGGCTCATCTAGTCTAGCTTCCTGCAATGCCAGAATTGCCACTAAAGAATCTCTGATAGATGGCCATCCGAACTCTCTTTTGAACCTCTGTTCAGACTGCATTGATGATACCAGAGTGGCCAGGATCTGGCCATGCAGAAGTGACTCCACCACTCTGGCAATGTAATAGTTGGGCCTTTGGTTAGATCGACAACCTATGCAGCAGGTGAGGTGGCAGAGTCTTGGAGTGGTAAAGTGACCGTAGGCATGAGATTCTCATTTTAGAATCAAACATAGGAAGAAGGCTTATAACAAGGAACACCACCGGTCCATCGAGTTCAGTATTGGCTACACTGACCTGCAGAAGCATTGCAGGATCCCTGGCGATGCTGAGGATTGCACCGGGAATTGCATGCAAAGCAGTTGCTCTGCCACTGAGCTGTGTCGCTGCCCCATGAATGCTTCCTTACACTAAAAAACAACAAAGCTCACTGCAAGTCGAAATCTAATATATATATATATGGGAGAGCGTTCAAAAATGGTTTTCCTCTGTAGGCAGATTGAAATGGAACAGTCCATTCTGCCATCTCATTCTGCCACTGCTTGAGCGGATCCAGCCATAGGGATCCATTAGTAGGGAAAGAAGAATCAAATGAGCAGCAGAGGTGCAGGTAAGATGATGCTGGAAAGATCAGGGAGAATTTAGCAAAGTGAGTTTTATGCTGAAGAGAAACAGCTTGCTGAAAACATAAGGAATGCTGGTACTGACATCATAAGCCTTGTCAGAGCAGTGTCAGGAAAAAAGCAAAGGAAGCAGGGCAGTGCTTGAGTTTGTATGGAACAGAGATCTAGAATAGAAGTAAAGGCATCTTACCTCTGTTAATCTGTTCCTGTGTTGCACAAAGATAAGGAATGTCCCTCCATAGATTTATAGTGTAGCCTGATAGTGCTCTCTCTCTCTCTCTCACACACACACACACACACTTGTCATTGTGGTTAGAGAAGTAATTTGCAAAATGCAAAGGCACCTTAAGTCTCTAGCATACTCTTCTCCCAAGGAAATGTGCCCTGTGACCCTGCCCATAACTTCCCATCACTCTGGGAAACAGAAGCGCAGAACAACATAGCTGAGAGGCAAGCAGAGAAGTGCAGAGATTTAACTATGTGGACTAGAATCCTTGATGATGCAGTTAGGGACAATAAAAAGGTAAAGGTACCCCTGCCCGTACGGGCCAGTCTTGACAGACTCTGGGGTTGTGCGCCCATCTCACTCAAGAGGCCAGGGGCCAGCGCTGTCCGGAGACACTTCCGGGTCACGTGGCCAGCGTGACAAAGCTGCTCTGGCGAGCCAGAGCCGCACACGGAAACGCCGTTTACCTTCCCACCAGTAAGCGGTCCCTATTTATCTACTTGCACCTGGGGGTGCTTTCGAACTGCTAGGTTGGCAGGCGCTGGGACCAAACAACGGGAGCACACCCCGCTGTGGGGATTCGAACCGCCGACCTTCCGATTGGCAAGCCCTAGGCCCTGAGGCTTTTACCCACAGTGCCACCCGCGTCCCTGTTAGGGACAATAGGAGGTCTTAAATTTAATACTCTCTTCTGTTCTGTTTGCTCTGCCCCAGGCCAGAAGTTAGCCCACGGCCCTGGGGAGTCAACAGCTCAGAGAGGCAGGGGCTGATGGAGAAACGGGTGGATGTAGATAAGGTAAAGTGCCAATCATTTTCTCTCTTTCTCCTCATAGAACATTTCTGCTGCCTCTGCAGTTCCTCTCCCCTCCCCCCCCCCGCCCTGCTCCCTCACCAGTCTTTTTCTCTATTTCTCAATTTTCAGGAGGTTGCCAGAAATATGGATTCTGTGTTCAAGGAACTTCTTGGAAAAACTTCTGGCTTGAAGCACATGGGGGCTGACGATGCCCTCCCCCACCCTGAGCAGCCAGAGCTCCCAAAGGGCACCCCCGCTGGCAAGAAGGGAGCCATCCCTGCCAAAACGGCGGTCTCTTCGAACAGGGTGCTCCTGCGGGGCAGAGGGGTCTTCAAATCCTCTGGGAACGGAGAGTGAGCCAGACTTGGGGTGGGGGGAAGTGTCCCCAACATGTCTTGCCCAATACTGTGATAATCTTCCCCTTCCCCTTCATCTTCTGAATACCAACTCAGGGCAGATGTGTGAGTGTCTCTCTCTCTCTCTCTCTCCTGTTACAAAATGATTTGGGAGGGTGGCGATCTGATTTTTATGGGAGTTTAATTTTAAGCCAAATGCGTTAAGCAGAATTTGCTATCCAGTGTCCTTGTGCACCCTGGAGGCGAGTCTGGAAGTTTTAATGTTGTGGATTTGGGTGTGTGTGTGTGTCGGGGGTGGGGGTGGGGAGCTGCTTTAAACATATGGCAACTTTTAGGATTGTCTGCCCCCACCCGTTCCGCCTCTCCTCTGCTACCCATGGTTTGCACTTGGATTTGCATGTGAAAGTGGTGAGGTGGGGGACCAGGATTCCTTTGGATCTGTTCTTGGCTAAGGGCGGGTGGGGGGGGGGGCTAATAGTGACTAGTGTGGGTTACAATGCAAGGGGTTGAAAAGGAGGGTTCTCTCTCTTGTATGTGTGTTCTGTTCCTGACATGATTCACACAAGCCCTCGCCAGCTGTGTTCTATTCTTCCCTCGCTTCCCAAACCCCGCAATGTATCCCTTGGTGCTTCTCACATTTGTCTGGATTTGTAAAACTCTTCCCCCCCACGCTGTCCCCGGTGCAACCTCATCCCTGTGCGCATCACCCTTTTACATTGGGGCAATAAGTAAGGGGACATAGTTGGGGGAGGGCATCCATGTGCCAATATTTCCCTTGCATTCAAGGAAGGTCTACTTTGTTCCTCTCTCTCCTTTTTTTTAATAAAAAGTCTGAGCTGCTCAGTATTAATCAGGGCTGTGTGTAACTCAAGGCTTTAAAATTCTGTGCCAAGAAAAGCTGAATTCTTCAACCTGTATAAATTATGCAAATCAAGCAAACTTGCGTGGAGTCTCTTTCATAACTTATTCTGCTTGGGCTAGTCAAAAAGAGGGGGAAGCATCAGTACAGCGCTCTGAGATTCCCCCCCATGGAAATCTTACTAAGCCACTCCTGTGGCTTCAAAAATATCAACAGGCTTTGGACCACACACTTTCAAGCATATCTTTGCAGCCATTAAGGCTAGAAACTTGCTTTAATTTTTTTTATTTAAAAATACAGCTGAGATTCTCAGGAAGTGGAATTTGGTGCCCAGTACCACATCCTGTGCCTTTTTGGTTCTCTCACAGAATCACAGCATACACACAGCCCTGGTATTGATTCTCTTCTCCATTACCAGAAACAATTCTGTACTGTGATCTCCCCCTGCTGTCTCTTGCAATAAACTGGATTTGTAAACTCTCCGCAGATAGCACCCTCCAGCCGGAATTTTTTTATGGAATAAACGCGACACTGAAGGATCTCTTGGGCTTTATTTTCATACAATGCAGATTTGTTTTTGTTTCTTTTAAGAAAAGGAAAATAGTCACCTTTCTTTTCAAAGCAGGAATTGACACTAGTGGCTGAACTTGGATTTTTGTAACTGTGCAGTTGCCACAGTGCTGCTGTTTCCCCTGTTTGGAAAAAGAAGTGTTGAAAGGCTGTCCCTGACGGCACACTGAAGCTTTAAAGGGACGAGAGAATAGATGGATGAAACCTTATGTCTTGTGACTGTCGGTCCTAGGAGAGGATGGAGCTAATCGCAACATGAGACATGATGCTTTAATTCTGTACACAAAGGAATTCATACTGTGGCACACTGTGAGACGGAGGGCTGCTTCGTGGGGGCAGAAATAGAAGACAGACAGATGCATGACCCATAGGGCATATCCTACTCAGAACGCCTGCCATGCCAGCCTAATTGATGAGGTTTCTGTCATGTGTGTGTGTTTAGGGGCTATTATTTGGATTTCCCATTCCAGACCACCACTTTGTCTTGGCATGTGGAGGACAGGGAATTAGAGGAATAGCTCCACCAGCCGGAAGCTCCCACCTAGATCAGGCCTCTAGCTGGAGGAAGGCAAACCCCGGAGTCCTGTCCTGGTCCCAAACAGAGCCTCAGTCCTTGGCACGTTCCTTGCGCAGGGCCACTCGGACATCACCGCAGACCTTCCCCACAGCTTCGAAGAGCGGGTCGCAGAAGGTGCGTATGCAGAGGGCATAGCAGCGCCCACAACACTGCACCTCTATGAAGTAGCTCTTGATGCAAGGCATGGCTCCCCAGATGTGGCAGAAGGAAATGCAGGCGAAGAGGAAGCCCCAGAGCAGGGCGAGGGGCAGCCCCAGGGCCCCCGACAGAATCCGGTAACACCAATACTTGCTGACGGTAAAAGTGGTGTTGCTCGCCTTCCACACCCCGTCAAAACTGTGCGTGCCCTCTGGCTCAGCAATCACATCTTCAAAGTCCACCTGGCAAGGTAGGGAAAAAAGCCATGAGTCAGGCAGGGCTTAATTTTAACCAGGATATGAATTTTAGAAAGTCTTGTTGAGCATCTCTGCCTCTGGGGGAGCTGCAACCAGCCTTGCACATCTGGGTCCTAGCGTGTGATGGATGAGTGCTCTTTGCCCTTAGCTAGACGTTTCACACAGCTGCATGTCACAAAATGGCCAGGCCAAAGCAGCTTCTGGTATGGAATGGCTATGAGCAGAGAGACAGCAAGAGACGGTGCTTGCTGAAAATCCCCTCCCCAAAGCCGTTGTTCCTCTTGGTGAAGCTCTAAGCCTGTGCTCACCCTCACAGACATTTGTCTTCTACCCTATGTGGGGAGTTGCAGTCGTCAGGATAGGGTTACGCAACCTCCCATCCCAGCTGCTTCAGTACTCCAAGCTGTTCCACACAGGAAGCTGCCTTTCCCCCTGACAAGTGGCCAACTATGCTTTGTCACACACATTTGCATCATGAACATCTGAAGAGTCAAAAGGAAGCTCTTCATAGTTAAACTATTGAATCCGCTCCCATGAGAAGTGATGACCACCACCTTGGATGGCTTTAAAAAGAATTAGACAAATTCATGACGGACATGGCTAGCAGGAGCCACTTGCCATGATAGTGCCTCTGAAGACCTTGAGGAGAGGGCTCTTCTGTTCAGGTTCTGCTCACAGACACCTTTTGGGCCCCTGTGAGAACTGGATGGGATCTTTTGTTCTTAGGTGGCCTGTCATTCTGCCCTGGTTCTGCAGCCACTTCTAGAAGAGCCAGGAGGTCCACAATCAATGGTCAGAAATGTACATGAGGATGAAACACCTTTGGGGAAGATTCTGTCCCAAGCAGGATATGTGCCAGCCAACTGGCCTTTCTTGTATGTTATTCTGGCTATGTTCTCATGTTTCATTCTTTCTATTTTCCTCAATCATTTCCTCGGATTACACGGGCAAATTTTTAACATACTGCAATGTAGTGATTTTTAAGGCTCTCTGTGGCCTTGGGTCCAGCTTACCTCAAGGATCTCTCCTAACCATATGAATCCTTTGGGCTGTTCAGGTAATCAGGAGAAAATCTTTGCTTTGGATGGCAATTTCCTGTGTAGAAACCTCAGTTGGCTCCTTTGGCTGGTTCTGTGAAACCTCCTTCCTTGGGAAACTTGCCTTTACTGGCTCTACAGAGCCTTTACAGAGCTATGACTGTTGTTTAAGCACACCTATTTAATCTCCTTGCAGAGGCAGACCTCTCATGCACCAAGAAGAGGCACCTGCCTCAGTCAAAAGAGTTGAAATCCACCATTAGAGGCGGCAGACAGATCAGACTGATGAGACCAAACCCAGGGGAACTTCTGGTAGAACCTCCTGGTGCATTGCACCCCCCCCACCCATGTTCATTTGTGGCAGAAGGATTGTCATGTAGGTTTTCTGCCCCCAGCACTAAAATAGTCCCTGGACTTCTGTGCAAATTGATCATAATCCATCCTAGATTAGAGAAAGTGTGAATTTACAGACTGCTTTTAATGGTTTGGAGCTGTCCAGGTTCTGCCAAGAAGGGCAGGGTTGGCGTACAGTTGTACCTTGGAAGTTGAACAGAATCTGTTCCAGAAATCCGTGTGACTTTCAAAACATTTGGAAACCAAAGTGCAGCTTCTGATTGGCTGCAGGAAGCTCCTGCAGCCAATCAGAAGCCCGGTTGGATGTTGGGGTTCCAAAGAACGTTCGCTAACCGGAACACTCACTTTCAGGTTTGTGGCGTTCAGGAGTCAAAACGTTTGAGTACCAAGGCGTTCGGGATCCAAGGTACGACTGTATTTTAAATCCTGAGCAAAAGTCAGATTAAAATGTAAAGAGATGAGAGCAGACCTCTCAAAGGTAGAGCAACGTGATCAGCATTAAGTGGATTAAACATCAGCATTATCTTTCCAGAGTGCCATTTTCTTTCTTCTTCTTTTCAATCTGTCCTTTTTATAGCCTTGTTACCTTCCTTGCACGGTGGGATAACCACCCGTTGACAGAGTCATAAAGCTAAAAAGAGAACTGCATCCAGTTCTACTTCTGAGGGCCAAACATGAGAGAGGAGGCTTTGCTTCCCCACTGCAGCTGGAATGAACACACACACACAAACACACACAGCTTGGAGCCTTGGGGAGTACAATAAAAAAACACCACACCACTTGCCTGGTCACCTATGGGGAGTAAGAATTGCCATGAGGTGACCTGTAAGACTGGAAGCACTTGCATATGGAAAGGATTGCTTCCTTCTCTTTTCCAGGCTATACACGGGCTAGTAAAATTCATGAACCCACAGCATTACTGACCACTTCCTTGTCAGTGCACACCACACATTAGAGCACATGGCTTTCCCTGCAAAGCAGTGCTTTTTCTGGAGGTACTCAAAAGTATGCACTGCCCAGAACAATCCTGAGAACTGTAGTTTTTGAAGGGTGCTGGGAACTGTAGCTCTGAGGTGGGGAAACTACAGTTCCCAGGAATATTTTAGGGGAGTTGTATGCTTTAAATGTATGATGTGGATGCAGGAAAAAGAAGTCACTGGGAATCAAACTCACTTCAGGTGCATGACATACCATATTGGCCTGAATATAAGCCTCACTTTTTTCCCCCCAAATTCTGACCATGAAAAGTTAAAGTGTGTCTTAAATTAACAACCTTACAAAAATTGGCTTTTACGATATCGCTGCAGACATAGTGTAAAACAGAACGGGAGTGAGCGTCTGCGGAATTTTAAGGGAGCGGCTTATATTCAGGTATTGTCTCTTCTTCCTTTCCCCCCTTGAATTTTAAAGGTGCAGCTTATATTCGGGTGCGGCTAATATTCAGGCCAATAAGGTAATATGTGGAATATCGCAAGTGTCTCTTTTAGCAATCTGGGGCAAATTAGCTCCTTTTAATCTAAACAACCTCACAGGGCTGTTGTTATGCTGTGAACATTGCTCTGAGCAACATGCAGGAAGGCAGGATAAACAAGGAATCAAGTGAGGAAGCTGGCTATCTTTTTTATACAACAAATAGGTGAGGTTATAGTAAGTCCGCCGGGAGATGAAGATTGCATTACTTATTCTTAGGACCTCCTCCACCCTGCCCCAGTTCCTGAGGACAACTGGAGTGGCAAGCCAGGGTCCCTGTCCGCTCTCCCTCAATATAATGGACAGCAAATCATATGCCCCTGATCTGGCACCAAAGAGCATTTCTCAAAGGGCCCCATGGCCACCAATTGCCAGTTCCTACTTGTGAACTCCCATGAGCCTCTGGTGCTTGGGAGAAATGAACGCGGATGTGGGCCTGAGTTACAGAAATAGCCACCACTCTGAATTTTTTGGTGGTGACCAATTCTTTCTAAAGATGAACTAGGAGGAAGCGACTGCCACTATGGGCTGAAGGACTGTTCCAGCTGCCTTTGAGATCTCCCATTCACTCTCCTGTTTTAATTCTATTCCACAAAAGCATTATTTCATGTTTATGGAAATTTTAGCTGTAGGTAGCTTTGCAGTCCTGCACCCGAGGCTCATGTCTTTGAAATAAATGCAATGAGGGTGTCAGCTAAGGCATCTGCATTCTGTTTCTGGCTCGGTGAGAGGACCAGTACATTGGCCATTTTCTCTCACTGCCCTTAGGCAACAAACTGCCTCCTACCTCTTTCTCCCTCCCTCTTCAAATCCTCTTCCCAGCCCAACCTTTTCTGCGAAGACCTAGCTGACTCTTCCTCCCCTGCCGTGCCATCTTCACTACAGCTGCCCCAAAGCCATCCCTTGGCGACTAAGGGCTCATCCGCACTTCAGCTTGTCCTGTGCCGAGAAACCAATGGGTCTGGGTGGTTGCCCTGCTCCTTTCCCAGGGAAAGCCACTCTAGCTCTAAATCGGAGCAAATGGCAATCCGCAGAAAACCTAAGCTGCCTTTTGCTCCAATTGAGTGCTAAAGAGCAGGGGAAAGCAGCGGCACAAGAGGAAATATGGATCAGCCCTAACTGTCCACAAGGACGTTGTTCTGAAACAAATATAAGCATTGAACGGACAGCAGCATTCGCTCAGTGGCCATATCCACCCAGACGCAGGGCTCAGCCACAACTCTGAGGTCCTAAACCTGCCTTTTACTGCTGTAACCTGATTGATGTTTGTTCCAATTCAGCAGTAAAGAGTGGGCTTTCCCGGGAAAAGCAGCAGAACAAAAGAAAAACCTCTCGGACCAAGGGAAGTGTGGGTGAGCCCACAGACGAAAGGATTCTTGGAGAATCTACTCTCTTTCCCTGTAGCAAATTGCAACAGATGTTGGGCTTTTGTTTGTATCTCAGTTGGTGAAGTGCTTCATGGATCGAGTGCAGAAGAGCTTCTGCTGTTTATACTGGAAGGAGAAAGGGCTTTAAAGAGACCTTTGCCTGGGTCTCTCCTCAGGAGAAGGAGGGAAAGGGTGGGTCAGTGCTGGGACCCAAATGGGAAGCAACCGAGGGCCACATTTGGCCCTAAACAGCCACTGACCTATTCTTCATCTAAGTAACTGCATTTGCTGCTCATCACTACCCATCCCTATTCTTCTGTTCTCGCCTTGCTATATATATTATGAACAACATTAATGTCCTGCCTTTCTGACTCAATATGAGATGCTCAAGGCGCTTTTAGATTGTATGTTCCTTGGGGCATATATGCCACTCTCCCTTTTTTTAGGGGAGTTTTGTGCCATAGCAGAGATGAGCAGAAGGTTGATCAGGATCTACAGGTATTGCAGTAGGTCCCAATTGTTTTCACAACAGCAGCAACCCACCCACCCACCCCAGAGAGGCTGGTGAAATGAAGAAAGCTTGCCAAGGAAAGGAGGGGTGGATCTTCTGCCTGAAAGGGCTGTGAGCTCAATTTTGGCACTGAAAACAAGCTCCTCAGAGGAGCACTGTCCCTTAATCTCCCCCTCTCTTCACAACTTTTGCACCCGGCTCCCGCTTGTGGACTTTAGGGTTCTGGGGAGGTGGATGGGGGACAAAGCACATCCCTCAAGTTTTAAGTCTCACTTGGTGCACAAATGAATATCGTAAGGGGGCAGGGGATAGAGAGCTCACTCTGCTTTCTTTAAGCTACTGCAAAGGAGCATTGGTGCTATCTGCAGAAGGAATTTTCTCTTTTGTTCCTGGGCTATTTTTGAAAGCTTTGCCCACTCCCCCACCCACACCTCTTCGCTCCATCTGCTCTCAGTCTAAAGGGAACTTCATCATTTTGCATCCTCAGGAGTGCTTCTTTCTGCCATTAAAATAGGAATGCTCTCACCTTTACCACTTCTTGGTTGATCTGCTTGGGGTCTCTTTCCACCAGATCTATCTCTTTGGTGAGGGGGTCCCGGGAGTCTATCTTCCCCAGGGTCACTTCTTCTTCTTCTTCTTCTTCTTCCTCTCTTCCTCCTCCTTGCTGGGCCATGGCTCCAGGCCGTTCCCTGCTTAGCTCCTTTCCCTCTGAAGAGCGCCAGCCAGTTGTCACTGGCTGTCAGGACGGAGCTCCCTCTCCCCACCTGCTGACTCCGTCTGGACTGCCATCCACAGATAGGGGAGTCTGTTCTGAAAATAGTCTGCTTCAAAGCCAGAATGCATCTGCCTCTAGGGTAGGGCAGAGGTTTTTTTTGGTAAGGCTTAGTATAGTTTATGGTATAGTTAATGGCTCTATCCCTTTTTTATTTCATAGCATAAAATAATTGCAATAGAATGTTGCTATGAAGGGTCTCTGTCCAGGGTCCATCCAGCTGAAAAGAACTATCCAGGTGGCAGCCAGGATTTCAGAAAAAAAATTAAAGGGTATCTGTCATATCTGGGTCACATATATCTTGTTTAAATGGAAAATATCTCTCCTCCCTTTTTCTTTTGCTCCTGATTACAGCACAGGGAAACTAATCACCTTAAATGTTAAAGGACAGAGGACCCATAGATTAGATTACTGCACTGCATTAAACACGGGGCTGCCTCTGAAGAAAGTTCAGAAACTTCAGCTGGTGCTGAATTCAGCAGCCTGGTTGCTCTGGATAGGATGGTTTGAGCATATAATGTTGATCCTGGTCTGACTGCACTGACTGCCAGTTACTTTCCGGGTTCAATTCAAAATGCTGATTTTGACCTATAAAGCCTTAAAAGTCTTAGGATTGCAATATCTCAAGGGCCAACTCTCCCCATATGAACTGACTAGGATCCTGCGGTCATCATATGAGGCCCTTTTTTGTGTGCCTCCTCTGTGAGAGGCCCAGAGGGTTGCAGCACGAGACGGGTCTTTTCTGTGGTGGCTCCTCATTTATGGAATACTCTTCCCAGGAAGGCTCACCTGCTGACACCATCATTATATATCTTTAGGTGCAAAGCAGCTGCTTGCTTCTGCAACCAGGCCTTTGGCCTTTGAGAAGTGAAGTAATTGAAGAGAATGTAAAGTAAGAAGGTGGAAGCATTGTTGTCCATGGTGTGCTCTCTGCAATGCATTAAACACGGGGCTGCCTCAGAAACTTCAGCTGGTGCTGAATTCAGCTCCAGCAAAGGCAGCATTTTTCCACCTCTGCCGTGCTAAGCAGTTGGTCCTTTACCTTTCCCGCCCTGATCTTGCCACTCTGATCCACGCGACTGTCACCTCCAGGCTTGATTATTGTAATTCGCTCTACATGGGGCTGCCCTTGAGACTGACCCAGAAACTCCAGCGGGTGCAGAATACCGTGGCGAGGCTCCTTATGGGGGGGGTCCTTGCCACAGGACCACATTCATCCAGTGATTTACCAGCTGCACTGGCTCCCGGTGGAGTACAGGGTCAGGTTTAAGGTGCTGGTTTTAACCTTTAAAGCCCTATACGGCCTCTTACTTATGGGACTACCTTTCCTGGTATGTCCTGTGGAGGACCTTATGGTCCACAAATAATAGCACCTTGGAGGTCCCGGGCATCAAGGAGGTTAGGCTGGCCTTGACCAGGCCTGGTGGAACGCTCTGTCGCAAGAGACCAGGGCCCTGCGGGACTTGACATCTCTCCGCAGGGCCTGCAAGACGTAGTGGGCCTTTCCACAAATTTTGCTAGAAAGTGAAAAGCATAAGTTATATCTGGTCTCGAGATTCTTTGAATGAAATTTAGCTTGCCTATAGCAGAATGATACAAAGTTTTGTTAGGAAACCACACACCATAGGTGTTTTCTTCCTATTTGCATTTTTTAAACATAACATTTCAATAAGATCATCAATTTTTACAGTTTGATAAACCAGAAAAGATCCATTTTTGCCTTTCTCAATTTGCATGGATAAGTAATTTTTAACTATGCCTAATTCTACCACATCAAATTTGTTCTGTAACTGTGATACTGCCTGTTCATATTCCTGTTTAGTTTTTGTAGAAATTAACACATCATCTACATACACACATATTTTTGTTACAGTTTGCCCTTTCCTTTATAAACACACAATTGTCTGCTTTTCCTTGCGAAAAACCAATATCCAGCAATTCTTTTGCTAAAGTTTGGTGGTAATTCCTTCCACTTTGGTGCAGACCATAAAGGCTGCGTACACAATACATTTAAAGCTCATTATTTCCCCCACAGAATCTTGGGAACCGTAGTTTAAGGGTGCTGGGAATTGTATCTTTGTGAGGGGTAAACTACAGATCCCAAGATTCTGTGGGGGAAATAATGGGCTTTCAATGTGCTATAAATGTATGGGGTGCCTTCAGCCTTACATTGTGGACAGTGACCATTCCCAAAAACCACTTGTGTTGATTACACACCTTGGCACCTTGGCATCTGTAAGGCAATTTTCACATAGTGTGATAAAAATCTATCATGCTGGTTCAGTTCACAAGTGACAGAAGCAAGTGGCGTGAGACTCTCAATGAACTGTAATTCAACAGCGTTGTTGCAGTCTCTTTTAAAAGTTGTTTTTTTTCTATTATGACCAACTTAAGATCAGCTTGTAGATAGTGTCCTAGGAGACACCTACAAGTACCTTGTACTTCACAGGGTTACTGTGAGGTCAGGTGTGTCGGAGATCATACAGCCAATCTAAAGTCAGTCGACCAAAACAGTAACAGATGAGCCAATTGGGGGTGAGGCAGCTGCTCTAAGAACTGCTGCTAAAGCTGCTACTAGCAGTGTTAAAAGTCTGCATCACTAGAGATGGGGGAGAAATCTGATTCTGTTCACATTTAAAGGTGAACTTAAAAAAATCTGTACTTTTTGAAACATCTGAACCAAATCCTTTGAAATTCACACTTCTCTTGATTTTGGAATGCAGTGCTGCTGTCAATATTGTTGTTGACGTCCGTCTGTCTTGAGAGACAATGGAGTGTGCCTCCAGGGGTGAAGTCAAACTGCTGTGTTGGCAGCACTGGGGTACAAGCCTAGGCAGTGTGTATGGAGGTCCCAGGCTGCCCAGGACACGCCTCACTAGTGTGGTCCAAAGGAAAGCAGAGCAAGACGTTTGGCACCAGCTTGGCCGCAGGAGTTGCTGGAAGGAGGCATACAAGACACCATCCAACCACTCCAGATTTGTCCTACAGCTGAGGGGGAGGCAGTGAAGAGGCCCCACGCAGTGTGCCCCAGACCCATGGGTGGCTCGCCCTGCCCCTGGCTGCAAGACGCGCGCACCACACCAGGCACCTGAACGGCTAGCTATGGTATGTTGCTGGTGAGAGGCTGCCAGCTCTGCAGGCAAGGGGTGGCATAACTGGGCTCCTGAGCCCCACAGGGGTGCCGCAGAAAGAATGTTGTTGGTTAAGAAGAAGAGAAGAAGAGTTTGGATTTGATATCCCGCTTTATCACTACCCTAAGGAGTCTCAAAGCGGCTAAGATTCTCCTTTCCCTTCCTCCCCCACAACAAACACTTGAGTGAGGCGAGTGAGGCTGAGAGACTTCAGAGAAGTGTGACTAGTCCAAGGTCAGCAGCTGCATGTGGAGGAGCGGAGACGCGAACCCGGTTCACCAGATTATGAATCTACCGCTCTTAACCACTACACCACACTGGCTCTCCAGTTAAGGGAGCTGTGGACTCAAAAAGGTTGAAAACCTCTGCTCTATGTTATGAAAACTATTCCTATGAGAAAATTGATAGAGATATGTTTTTCTCCCTCTCTCATTGTATACAATGAAGCTGAATGTTGGAAGATTCAGGCAGAGAAAGAAAGCACTTTTTCATACACCACATAGTTAAACTATGGAACTCACACCCACAAGAAGTAGTGATGGCCACCAATTTGGATGGCTTTAAAAGAGGATTAGACAAATACATGGATAAGGCTATTGTCTACCTCCACTGCCAGTTAAGCCTTTGATTTCCAGTTGCTGGGAATCGCAATTTGGGAGTGGGCTGTGGCATTTGGTCCTGCCACTGTGAAAGCAGGACACTAGACTAGATAGGCCATTGGTCGGATCCAGCAGCCTCTTTTTATAACAAAACCACAGTGGTGGGCAGCTGTTGCTGGCATTGAGTGCAACTGTACAGAGCTATAGAAGGGCTCCCAGCCAAGTCCGAGACATGGCTGGGAAAGGGAGGTATGTGCTCGTAATGCTACCCTTGGTCCATAAGTGCACGCAACAGGCTTGCTGCCAGCCAGCGTTTTCAGGGGTACCACGGTGATGGGCATCAGCAGCTGAAGCATGCAGTGTTCCTGGCAGCAGCATGGCATTTTAAGGTGTGGTTCCTGGCACTATCTCTGTCATCTGCCTGTGGGTATTAGAATAGCGAGGGGCTGCCGGAGAAGACAAACAGACGCCTACTGCAGTTTTATGCACACTGGAATCCAGCGGGTCTTACATCTGAGCAAACTCAAGACTGAATTGGGCTCCGTCTCACACAAGTTGGAGAGGGGTGTGAATTGCAATCTCCACATTATTGTTAACTTCCATCCGCCCACCAGCCATTCCTCCAATACCCTCCAACTGCCCTGTTTTAAGCAGGACACTCCCGGATTCTCAGAGGCATTCCCTGCTTCTGTTTGGATCTGGGAATGTCTTGCTTTCCCCCTCCAGCACCACCACCACTGAGCTCAGGGAGGCCGAGCCTCTCCATGGCCACCACTGCCAGCCTCCTCCCTCGGCAGCTCCTAGCGGCCGCTGGACAGCGGCTGCTGCCACTGAAGCCCAGCTCTAAGTGACGCGCCAGCGGACGAGAGGTGTGCCGCCACCGCCGCCACCACTTTTCCTCCCTGCCACTTCTGTCTCCAGGTCAGGGCTGACCCGGGAGTGGAGCTGCAGGATGTTGTGGCCTCCACAGCTCCATGGCATGCTGGAGCCCAGGAGAGGAGAGGCCGGGTGCTGCTGCCACTCCTTTTCCCTGTCCCTTCTGCCCCAGCGTTTTGATGTTGGAGGGCAAATGTTGTCCCTATTTTCAAAAAGGGGAAAAGAGAGGACCCAAATAATTATCGCCCAGTCAGTCTGACATCAATACCAGGGAAGATTCTGGAGCAGATCATTAAGCAAACAGTCTGTGAGCACCTAGAAAGGAATGCTGTGATCACCAATAGTCAGCATGGATTTCTGAAAAATAAGTCATGTCAGACTAACCTGATCTCATTTTTTGACAGAATTACAAGCCTGGTAGATGAAGGGAAAGCAGTGGATGTAGCCTACCTTGATTTCAGCAAGGCATTCGACAAGGTGCCCCATGATATTCTTGTAAAGAAGCTGGTAAAATGCGGTCTTGACTATGCTACCACTCAGTTGATTTGTAACTGGCTGACTGACCGAACCCAAAGGGTGCTCATCAATGGTTCCTCTTCATCCTGGAGAAGAGTGACTAGTGGGGTGCCACAGGGTTCTGTCTTGGGCCCGGTCTTATTCAACATCTTTATCAACGATTTGGATGATGGACTCAAGGGCATCCTGATCAAATTTGCAGATGACACCAAACTGGGAGGGATGGCTAACACCCCAGAGGACAGGATCACACTTCAAAACGACCTTGACAGATTAGAGAACTGGGCCAAAACAAACAAGATGAACTTTAACAGGGAGAAATGTAAAGTATTGCACTTGGGCAAAAAAAATATGAGAGGCACAAATACCAGATGGGTGACACCTGGCTTGGGAGCAGTACATGTGAAAAGGATCTAGGAGTCTTGGTTGACCACAAACTTGACATGAGCCAACAGTGTGACGCGGCAGCTAAAAAAACCAATGCAATTCTGGGCTGCATCAATAGGAGTATAGCATCTAGATCAAGGGAAGTAATAGTGCCACTGTATTCTGCTCTGGGGGACGCGGGTGGCGCTGTGGGTAAAAGCCTCAGCGCCTAGGGCTTGCCGATCGAAAGGTCGGCGGTTCGAATCCCCGCGGCGGGGTGCGCTCCCGTCGTTCGGTCCCAGCGCCTGCCAACCTAGCAGTTCGAAAGCACCCCCGGGTGCAAGTAGATAAATAGGGACCGCTTACTGGCGGGAAGGTAAACGGCGTTTCCGTGTGCGGCTCTGGCTCGCCAGAGCAGCGATGTCACGCTGGCCACGTGACCCGGAAGTGTCTTCGGACAGCGCTGGCCCCCGGCCTATAGAGTGAGATGGGCGCACAACCCTAGAGTCTGGCAAGACTAGCCCGTACGGGCAGGGGTACCTTTACCTTTACCTTATTCTGCTCTGGTCAGATCTCACCTGGAGTACTGTGTCCAGTTCTGGGCACCACAGTTCAAGAAGGACACTGACAAACTGGAACGTGTCCAGAGGAGGGCAACCAAAATGGTCAAAGGCCTGGAAATGATGCCTTATGAGGAACAGCTAAGGGAGCTGGGCATGTTTAGCCTGGAGAAGAGGAGGTTAAGGGGTGATATGATAGCCATGTTCAAATATATAAAAGGATGTCATATAGAGGAGGGAGAAAGGTTGTTTTCTGCTGCTCCAGAGAAGTGGACACGGAGCAATGGATCCAAACTACAAGAAAGAAGATTCCACCTAAACATTAGGAAGAACTTCCTGACAGTAAGAGCTGTTCGACAGTGGAATTTGCTGCCAAGGAGTGTGGTGGAGTCTATGATGTCCCAAATCCAAAGTTAAGGCTGTTGGGGGATATGTCCTCTGCAACCCCTCTGTGAGGCACAGAACCTTTTCCTCCTTCATCCCGTCCCTTTAACACACGTTTGTGCCTGGTTTGCCAGAACAGAATCAAAAGAATTCAAACACAAGGGGAAGCAAATCAACGTTTTTTGTTTTATTAAATAAAGGGGGAGACGACGACGGAGCTTTACATCTCAGCTATTGCTGTGGGAGGAAGGGCTGGAGGGAGTGGGGGCTGCTTCCCACAGAAATGAACATATCTTCTGCCAGAGCCCAGCACTGAGTCTGGAGTTGCCCTAGTCCCCCTCCTGCCCCCCCCATGTGCAAAATGTCAGAAGGCTAATCCCAGCGTTACTTTTCCTGGAGGAGATTCTTATGTGGGCTGTCAGTCAGGGTTAGGCCAGAGGTGGCTGGACTTCAGCTCCCTTTAGCCCCAGACAGCATGGCCAGAGACCGTCTTGTGTGCAAAGCCAGGTGGATCCCCATCCCTGTCTCTGAGATACTAACCGACAGATGAGCCAGCTAGAATCTCAGGGACGGAGGAGGGTAGTTTTGAAAGTTCCTCACCTATTATTATTATTATTATTATTATTATTATTATTAAAAAATGTAGACCACCCTTCATCCAAGGATCACAGGGAGGACTATGGAGAGCCCACTCCTAGAATAATGTGGAATTCTTTCTGCAGGTCTGGACAAAGCAGGGGCATGACAATAAGAGAATAGAATACGGATGTTTCATTTTGAGACCTCTCTCTGAAGCGCCATTCCCCTCGTCCTCTGGCCTCCTTGTTTTCCTTCCCTCTGACCTGCTCCCTCGCCCACAATTCCTCTTTTCTGACCCAAGGCTAAAAGCTCCCTGGGAGTTCTACTCTATGCTGTGAAATCCAGCCTGTTTAGTGGATCTGAGTGAAATGGGAAGGAAAGTCTTTGGCACATGGGTCGGGGGGGGGGGGGGAGGCGTCTCTGTGTCACTTCTGAGTAACGGTGAGGTAGATGGCGCTGCAGCAGCGGCCCAGACTGGTGAAAAGTGGGGCCACCACAACATCCAGGATGCTGGCCCAGAGGGTGCGAACCGGAGGCATTGCCATTGTGCAGAGCTGGATGCAGGGCATCACACACCTGAGGGAGGAAGAGGGGAGAGATGTGGCTGGCAGCCTCCAGGAAGCAACAAAGCACCCCAACATTTAGACTCCAATTAGGCAGCCTAAGGGCCAATATATACTCACCTACAGCATTGTTAATAAGAATGTCTTCGATTGCAGGTAGGCAACCTGCGACCCAGAGACCATGGGTTGTAGCCAACACTAGTCCTACTCAGAGTAGAAATGTTTTATATTTGTTTTATGGTTCTCTTTTGTAAGCAATATTGATAATCTTGATCTAGATTTAAAATACACATTTTCGAATAAATATTTTTTTAAAAGAATAATAAAAAAGAGTAGAAATGCCTGGACATGGCTAACTTAGGTTCATAACTTTCAATGGGTCTACTTTGTGTAGGCCTAGCACTGGATACAACCCTGTGTGCAGCCCCAGACACCTCCAGAAGATGCCTACCATTCTTCCAACTTTTTTGAAAGAAGGAAAGCTCCTTTCTGGTTCATGTCCTTGTTTTCCTGGGTCCCACCAAGTGACCAATTTATTTAGCATTTCTGTCTTCAGATTCCTCCATTCCTCATATCAGTGTTAGGCAGACAGTACTTATCTGCTCCCCCAACTAGCAGAACAAGGACATCACACAAACAGTAGGTGCTTCCAGATCTAGTGCAGATCAGATTCAGTCACATCCTGGCAAATTCAGGTTGTGCAATTAAAAGTGGATTTGGCAGTCTTGTGCAACAAACTCACTTCGCCCACACACAAATGAAGACCCCAAACCTCTCACTGGTGTGTGTATGAATACATGTGAGTGCTGGACATGCATGTGGGTTGCGACACATACTTTAACACCAACTCCCTCTGGGATAAGTGTTTGGTAAAGTGTCTTTTAAGAGATTAGTTTGCCATTACTAGTCTACTCCCTGAAGCACCCACAAAGCTACAGGACAAGTCAAAAGTCAAAGTGCTAGAAGAGCCTCTGCCCACCTGGTGCCCTCCAGACATTTTGGACTACAACCCCTATCAGCCCAAACCAGCAATGAGGCTGATGGGAGTTGTAGTCCAAAGGGCCTGGAGCTTGGCAAAGTCTGTGTTAGAGTAACACAGCTTCCTCCTGTTGGTAGTTCCCCCAAGTAACCACTAGAATTAGCCTTGCTAATGGTCAATGAATGTGCAACCAACTGGAAGCAAGAGGCTGGTCGTGAGCCAAGGGGCAAGAGGAGGCAGAGCAAAGGGGGCAGACCCTCACCAGATGTGCAGGCAGCCTAGGCAGGCAAAGAGAAAGCCCGAGAACAGGGAGACGGGCACAGCACACAGCAGCGAGATGATGCGGTAGCACCAGAGGCGCGAACTCTCAAAGACGATGTCACTCCAGGTCCAAACCCTGTCAAAGCTGCGAAACGAGGAAGGTTCAGCAAGAATGTCGGAGAATTCCAGCTGCCGGGAAGAACAAGGGAATCTGGTCACTGAAGATTCTCCAGCGAAGAGAGAGAATGTTGTGAGGCAGAGCAAAGCATCTTGGGACCAGGAGGACCCATGCCGTCTCCTTCTGTGTGGTTCTGGGGCATGTAAGGAGCAGCAATCAGCAAAGGGGGTGGAGAAGAATTGGTTGTGCTGCAGGTGAAGAGCTGGGAGGAGTTTGGGGGTGAACAAGGATTCAACTCCCACCTTGGGTGGGTAGGAGAGAGCTGTGCCCTTAGAGTTTAGGAAGTCAGGATTTAGGCATCCCCACCCCAAGGCAGGCAGGTAAGCTCCCTCTGTTACCTTAAGGTGCTGGTTGATCCCACGTGGGTCCCGAGGGTCTGCTTTGGGTGGTGTGTTGATAGCGGACTGCAGGAACATGGGAGATCCCGGCTCCTGCAAATGAGGGTCTTCTGGATCCAACTTGCACTCAATCAGATAATCGTTACTGATCATCCTGCCAGGAGGGAGAAGATCAGCACTCGCAGGTGCTGCTGCTGCTCTCTCAGAAGGGGGGATCCAGTAACGCTATCAAGAACCTCTTTATAATTCTGCCTCTAACACTTCCTTTTGTTGCATAGGCTTCGTGTTTTACTGAAACTGCCTTGTCTGTTCTTATTTAACCTGCCTGTCCACTCTTCACTTGCACAGTATTTCTCTCCATCTGTGTGCAGGAACTTGACTCCAGTTCTATTCTCAGCCTTGGCCAACATAGATTGGAGGGCGAGGGGAGTCGAGGAGGGAGGAACTCAGCAGTTGCACGCCCCCGCCTGGTATTTGCAGCCATGGGGCAAGCGAGATGCATTGGGACAAGGGGTATAAATATGCCACCGTCCCAGAGTTCCTTTGCTGAGGAGCGGAAATGGGGAATATATGCAAGCACAGGGTATTCTTGGCACTGGGAGAAGAATGGGGTGCAGTGGGTCGCAGCAGCAGGGCTCAGAGCCAGGTGAACTAAATAGGGTGTATACCAATGGCAGCTAAATGGGACTTACAGCAGCAGGGCACCATCTAGTGGCTCTGAGCTACCATTCAACAGGTCAAGAGAGCACACGGTGCACAATCTTGCCAACTTTCAGCAAACACTCATGGGACCAAAACTGCAGGAATCAGAGGCATTTTGTGGCATCTGAAACTTTCCTTGGGTTCTGTAGGACTGGGATAAAATGCCGGCATTTTCAAGGCTTCTGCTGGGTTCTGGGAAACCCAAATAAAGCTGATGATGAACTGCATTACTTTCCCCAAACCCATAGGTTGTATTGGACTCACAGAGGGCTTCCCGATTCAAGGTTCACACAGTCAGAGAATTCTCATTCTCATAGGAAAGTTCAGTCAGTAGAGCGTGAGACTTTCAATCTCAAGGTCATGGGTTCAAGCCCCACGCTGGGCAAAAGATTCCTGCAATGCAGGGGGTTGGACTAAATGACCCTTGGGATCTCTTCCAACTCTACAATTCTCTGATTTCATGATTCTATGAATTGTAGAGTTGGAAGGGTTCCTGAGGGTCATCTAGTCCATCCCCCTGCAGTGTGGGAATCTCAACTAAAGCATCTGTGACAGATCTAACATCTGCTGAAACACTTTCCAAGGTAGGAGAGTCCACGACCTTATGAGGGAGTCCATTCCACTGTTGAACAGCTTTTACCATCAGAAAGCTCTTCCTGGTGTTTAGGTGGAATCTCCTTTCTTGTAATTTGAAACCTTTGGCTCCTTCCAGAGCAGGAGAGAACAAGCTTACACCACCTTCCAGGTGACAGCCATTTAGATATTGGAAGATGGCTCTCACATCTCCTCTCAGTCTCCTCTTATCCAGGCCAGTGCTTTTTTCTGGGGGTACTCAAGGGTACGGGCACCCTTTTTTTCTAGAAGAAAAGCACTGATCCAGACTAAACATCACAAACTCTCTCAGCCATTCCTCATAAGGCTTGGTTTCCAGACCCTTGACCGTCTTGGCCACCCCCCTCTGCACATGTTCCAGCTTGTCAATATCCTTCTTAACTTGTGGCGCCCAGAGCTGGCACCTGCATTCCAGGTGTGGTCTGACCAAGGCAGAATAGAGTGAGACTATTGGCAGGGCCCTTCATTGGCATCCGGACTGCATGTGGGGGGATACAGGCATTAAAGTGAACAGGGAAACCTTTCCTTACGCAGGTGTTCCTCCTGCACAACAGAGTCCCACAGAGTTTTGGGTAGACCAGTTATAGCTTTAACTCACTGCGTATTCTTCCTGGGAATCTGAAGAATGTGAGAAGCTGGAGCCCTCACCCAGGCTCCCTCCAGACATCCTTTGGATTCTGCATTCATGATGATTCTTGACGGTATCAGGCCAGGGATGCCAACTTGAATGAAGTATCGGGGGGGGGCAGGTAAGCCGCGCCCTGCATCACATAATCACATAATGGGGTGCGCTCACACCATTTGAATCGCAACGCCCATCAACTTTGGGGGAGGGCTGCCCCCCTCAAGTATTGAGCATGCAAAGGGACCTCAGCCCCTAGGAGCTGCCTCCAATATATCAGGTGGCTATTCGTGACCCTGCTTTTAATACTATTTGTGCCTGCCAAAGCTTTGGGGAGGACATATAGCTTCATTTCCTGCAACTTCCATCTAAAATTCTGCTTTTGTTGTGCTGTGTTGTGCTTTGGTTATACCCTCTGGATAATAATGTGGTAGCATCAGGGAAATGTCACAGAACAATGAATAAAGCAGAATAAATCCACCACTAGTGCACCATTATTGGGTCAATAACATGTTGCAGAATGAATGCACCTGCAATAAAGCACCCGTCTGGAGTATACATGTCTTTGGGCAAGGCTACCCAATGAAGTGGAAGTAATTCATTCAACTAGCAACTTGTTTTTGTTGCTGTTCTTTTAAAATGAATTTTATTGAAAATGTTTAACAGAAATAAAGAACAGTTATTTGGGTCAAGTTTGCAGCAGCAAATATAGTCGCCATCTGCAACCGGGTAATGCAGCCAGCTCAATAAAACTAGAAATTATTATCAGAGGGAGGGAGGGGGGGCTGTGGGAAGTAGGGATGAGGAAGAAATTTGATTCAGTTTGCATTTAAAGGTGGATTTACCTATTTCACACTCCCTGAAACAATACATGACCCGAAATGCAGCCATCCTTCAAAATCCACACTTCTCCAAATTTTGCAGGGCTGTTCTCCAAGCTGATTTCTGGTCTTCCCTTCATATGCCCTATAGGCATTGTCAATATTGACTTGCTACCTCTGTGGTTGCTCGTTTGCCTTTAAGACAGTTTGTTCTCTGAAGAGGAAGGAAACCAGCTCTTCACCAGTTTAACATGGGGCACCATCCAGTGGCAGGTTCTTCTGCAGAAGCCACATTGGAATAAAACAGGGTTGCCATACACCTGGAATTTCCAGGACATAGCCGGCAATCAGCCCTCGTCAACAGCTTCTGGCCATATGGTAACCTGGCAACCAATGCTGGAAGTGCAGCTCAAAAAGCTCAACAACTTTGTGTCTGGATTTTCAGCTTTTGAAACATGGCAATCCTAGAATAAAGGGCAAGCACCTGTTGGGCCCTTGGATCAAATCAATGGCTGATATCTAATGCTAGTCCTACTCAGAGTAGACCCACTGGAGCTGATAAACATGACCAAGGGCTCATCCACACTTCTACCTGTTCTGCCGCTTTCCCAGAGAAACCTGCTGTTTATTGTTGAATCAGAACAAACGTCCATCGGTTTTTCTGTGGATTGACCATTTGTTCGGATTCTGTGGTAAACAGCAGGTTTCCTGGGCAAAGCTGTGGGACAAATGCAAAACTATTTGGACCTGTGCCTCCAAAGCACAAGAGAAATGGAAAGCCACTCAGACCTGTGTCTTCTCAGCATGAAACAAGCAGAAGTGTGGATGAGCCCTTAGTCAGGTTCCTTAACTTCAGCAGGTAGAAACTAGCTCTGGATACTAGCTGCCTCCTCACCTTCATAGTGCCCCTTCTAAGCATGAAAAAGAGCAAATCCTACAAAAGATTAGGATGTTTCACTTAAAAAGGCTGCAGTGTTTAATAAGGTGGCTTGGTCTAGCCCAGCCTCCCCCAACCTGGTGCCTTCCAGATGTTTTGGGTGGCAACTCCTACCTGCCCCATCCAGCACAGCTGGGGTTGTAGCCTAAAACATCTGGATGACACCAGGGTTGGGAAAGGCATTGCTTTACAGGTTCCAGAGGGCACTGAAAACAATGGTCTTCCGGCCGTCCTAAGTGCCCCTGTGTCCTTGGAGCCGGCTTCTCTGTTAAGCTGGGCATCCTTCCACCCTATAGAGCTGGCTGGTGAGAGAGTGGCGCTCCTCTTTGGGGTTTTCTTTTGCTTCCACCTTTCTGGCAAAGCTCCAGTGCCTTTGAAGCCACCGTTCAGCAGAAGGAACATATTCTTTGCTAGGTGCACCATTGGTGTTAGTGGCGCTCTGGCTCAGGAAAGGGCATCCCGTCCCAGGGAGAAGCTGGCCGTGAAGGTGGAGTCCTCATGCAGGGAACTAATCTGCTGACGGGCCAGTCTGGGACAGAAGATTTGTCGCAGCTCACCCGAAATACTGCTGCTAAAGGTGGCGTAGACCCAGGGGTTGGTGCAGCTGTTGAGACTGGCGAGGAGCATCAGGAGGGTGAAAGCTGGACCTGGAGAGGAGAAAAGGAGCAGGGGTCAGCCTGGGAATTGCAAGAGCTCAGCCATGGGACATGCTCAGGAAGACAAAAAATAAAGGCAAGGGCACCACTGAGAATAGACAGAGTGCAGTTCTCCCAACACTGGGTAACCACAGCCTGCTCACATGTTTGGGGGCTTCCAGGGGAGGTGATGTCGTTCCCAAAGAGACCTCATATATCCCTAGCTGAAAACCATTGTTCTCCTATAGGGAAGAAATGTGATCCTGTGTGGGATTATCTCCACCCATCTCTCCACTGGCAGGAAGTAAAATCTTTAAGAGAATACGCCTTGGGGGCTGAGACAACCCCTCCAGTTCTATTCCCTGCCAGCTCCACTGCAGGTTGTATTGCACTTGCACCATTGTTTTGCTGGTGGCTTGAACTGGCTTGTGAACCATCTTGCTATTTCTTCTCAAAATGAAAAGATCATTCACAGATCATGGAATTCAACACAGTGCATGCAAAGTGCCCACCCTGCCACCCACCTTTTGCCATGTCAGTGAGATAAGAGAATAGGAGGCAGCAGGTAGGTTCCTAGACCACAAATGGGATCCAGCTGGCCAGGTTGAAACTCTGGAACTTGTTTCAGGCCCCAGCCGCACGCTGACAGTCATCTCCACAGCTAGCCATGGGGAGTCCTTGATCTGGATCATGATAGTGGTGCTTAGCCCCCTACCGTTTTCCCAATCATTTCCCAAAGCTGGAGGAAAGTGCGGGGGGGGGGCAATTGAAGTCCCTCCCTGCCATGCTGTGGTCTGGATTGGCAGGGTGTGTAGCTGTGTGTGTGCTTATTTCTTTTAAAGAGTAAACAATGCTTTTATATATGTGAAACATAGCCTGTAGTTTGTATCCACAGTTGTAAACAGAAGGAAGTGGCAGACCTTTTTAAAAAAGCAAGAGAAATAGTGTCCTAGCTGTAACCTTGAACTTTTTCATGTGCCCTTGTTCTGCTGCTCAGCATACAATAAGAAGGAAGGAGGAAGGTGCTTTTAAGGGCTCATCCACACTTACCATTTGCCGCGTGCTTTCTGGGCACAGCTGCGCACTTTCCTGCTCCTGGTCCAAGTGCTTTCTTTTTTTGCCCTGCCATTTGCCCCAGGAAAACACACTCTTTAATGCTGAATTGAAAGAAACAGCAATTCAGGTTTGGGGTGGATTGCAGTTTGTTCCAATACAGTGGTAAAGAGGGTTTTTTTGTGGAGGAGGGGAAGCACTTGGATCCATACCTGAAAAGCCCAGATCTGTGCCCAGAAATGCGGGGCAAATGTGTGTGTGGATCAAAATGCTGCAGTGGATGCCAGTTTTGTAGTCTGGAACCTGACACCCTATGCTGCTGCAGGACTCACCGTTTAGCGGGGCCTGAGGATCCCACACAGACCACAGCTGGACTAGGAAAAAGGGGGCCCAGCAGAACACATAGATAAGCACAATGGCTAGGGTCATCTTTGCAGTCTTGGACACAGCCCCGGAAATGGGGGAGGGCCCCTGCTGGCTGTCCCGGCCCCGCAATGCTCCTTCTGGCCCCAGGCGCAGGCTGCGGTGGACCTCACGGAAAATCATGGCCTGGCAGGTAGCAATGAATAAAGTGGGGAAGACGAAGACCATCAGAGTCACCCACGTGACGTAAGCCCGAATGCCCCAGGGCTCTGCAAAGTGAGCCCAGCACTCGTGGGCTCCACTGGGCAGCTTGGTTTTGGAGAAGATGAAGAGCTGTGGGAGGCTGAGGAGGAAGGATGTGGTCCATGCTGCCACCACCAGGCGATGCCAGCTGGCTGGGCCCTTCCGGAAAGCCAGCATGGGCCGGCAGATGGCTCGGTGGCGGTCGTAAGTCATGGCCACAATGACGTAGGAAGAGGCAAACATGCCAACCACCTGCAAGTACTTGATGGCGCGGCACAAGACATCCGGGCCCTGGAAGCGGTCGGTGATGTCCCAGATGAGCTGCGGCAGCACCTGGAAGAGCGCCACGGTCAGGTCGGCCAGGCAGAGGTGGCAGATGAAGCGGTGCATGGGGCTGGCCCGGCGAGTGCGGCGGAAGAGGGCTCCCAGCACCAGCCCATTGCTCAGAGTGGCTAGCAGGAAGATGGAGGCCAAGATGGCGATTTCCACTTGGGCCAGAGCGTCGTCCCGGTCGTCAGATAGAGGGAGGGAGGTGTTGGAGGTGGGGACAGGCAGCGTGGAAGAGGCGTTGAGCATTTGCTTCTGAAGAAGGTAAGAGGGCGAATGGGAGGGGAGAACACCCAAACAACGTTATGGTATATACCCATTAATCCAACTCAGCACTTCAAAGGCAAACACAGGGATGAAACACAGACGCGTGATTAAATGATGCACTGCTGCAACTCAAGGGTACACAGGGATGGAATCAAGGGCAGGATATTAGTCTGGTTTATTGCGATATAAGGCTTTTTGGAGACAGCACTTACTTCGCCAACATAGTGCCCTCTAGAAGTTTTGGACTACAAGTCCCATCATCCTTTGCCATGATGATGGGTGTCAGAGCTGTCCCCAGGTCCCAGCTCACAGAGGACCAACGCTAGCCGGTAGTAATGTACAAAAGTCTTTATTGAAGTACAGTTTCCATTTTCAAGCCGCAGCGCGCAGCTCTACGTCTTAGAAGCTAGACCGGCGAAGCTCCGTCTGAGTCTCCACCCCCTGTACACCAGTTTAAGACTCTAACCTTACTCCACCTCTTCCGTCTCTCCTTTCTCCTCTGGGTCCTTCTGCCCCCCGGGGTCTCCTCCTTTCTGGACTCTTCTGACGCTGACCCCCCTGACTCCTGTCCCTCCTTCCGGCGGGCTTTAGGACCTGGCTCCCTATCCGGGCTACCAACTGCGCCGCCCTCCTGTACATTTGAACTTGGCGCGCGCGCCCAGCCTCCAACCTTCCTCTTGACCGTTTCCTCGCTCTCCGATGGAGGCGTGGCCAATCCTGACTCCTCTCCTCCCGCTGGCGGTGAGCCGCCTGATCCCGATACCTGGGACTCCTCCCCCCTACTGCGCTCTGGTGGGGAAGCTGGTCCTGATTTCCAACTGCTGCTCTCTGAGTCCCCTCTGGCCCCTTCTTCCTGGGGTGTCCCCCTAGGCACCCCCCTTGCTCTGACCATGGGAGCCCCTTTCTGTGAATCTTCCGATTCACTGGAAAGACTCAGAGACCTTGGGCCGCTGTCATCCCTAACATTTCCTTCGGATTCCTCCCCCTCGCTCTCTATTTCCTCCCTTTCCTGTGCCTCTGCTCCTGAGCCCCTGACAATGGGTGTTGTGGTGCATGCAGAATCTGAATTCATCAGCTCAGAAGCATAAACAGAGAGCAAGTATAACAGTCCCTAAATAGGAAAGGGCAAATCTGCCAACTTCAGGTTCCCTCTACTTTTCATTTTCTCAGTTTTAGCAGTCTGCTACATTTCCACATCAGTGTGTGATTTTTTTAAAGGTCCTTGTGAAAATTCATTGGCATTTTAATGTGAATTTCTCTTAAGGTATAGAGTCTTGTATGCAACTTAGCCTAGTATACACATTTCAGCAAAGCAATTTCCCCTAATGCAACAGATTTCTGCATGTTATTTTAATATTTGCACTTGTATGCACACTTTGCCCTAGCATGCACATTTTTGTACCCAGAACATGGCCAGAGAATAGCACTGCAAAATTTGAGGAAGTGTGAAGTTTGAAGGGTGGCTGTGTTTTGGTTCAGAAAATGTGAAGTAGGCAAGTCCACCTTAAATGGGAACTGAATTAAATGCCTCCCCCATTGCTACCCCAAAATCACTGCTGCCCCATAGCAGCTGAGCTAGCCTGTCTCCATGCCTGCCTGGGCCCTCAGCACAGTCTCCCGTCCAGCCCAGTCTCCCATATCTGCTCTCCTGCAGGCCAGGGACAGAATGTTTGGACACTCCTGGTGGTCCAGCAACCATTCTCTTCTTTCACTTCAGGCTTCCGACACCAACTGCCTTGACCTCCTCAACTGGGAATGGCATGCTTTTCATATTTGACAGATTAAAAAAAACAATAAAAACCCAGCTCAGGTGTTTTACTGAAAGTTGGTATTGTAACGGCTGCCATGTTTTGTTTGCATGGGTTGTTTGCTAACAATCAGGGATGGTTGACTGATGTTTCCTCAGCGGGAGCTAATGGCTGGGGATGTTTCCTGAATGCGCAATTGATCAGCAGGGTGGGAACAGAGCCCAATGCGCTGTGTGTGTGTGTGTGTGTGTGTGTGTGTGTGTGACTATGACTATGACCAGAGAAAATCAGAACTGGCCCTAACTGGAATTCAACTGTTGCTCTTGGGAAATCTGACACAGGATTAGCCTGCTGTTTAACACTGTGTGAACACTAAGAGTCTGAAATGCATGGGGCTTGTTCTCCACCCCAGAATTCCTCTGTTCACATCACTTTGCGATACTGGCACGCTACCCCAAGAGTACAAAGGGAAGCTCCATGCCTGATCTCCATACACAGCAGAGGGGAGTACAGAGAGTGAACTTTACAAGGAGTGGGGGTCTTGACTGCCTCCCCTCCTCAATGTCTCCACGCCCCATTGTGGGACATTTGTTTACCTGTGTGTGCACTATTTTTTCTCAATATTTGGGATGAACATTTTCTGAGATACAAAACTTCCACAAAAGTAGAATTTTTAAAAAGTGTGTGGCCCTAAGCCCTACCAGTTGCCCACTGGTAAAGCAGAAAGGGACAAAAGTCTGCATTTTTAAATAATACGTCCCCCCCAGCTCAGCATTTTGGCACAAATGTCTTCTAATTTTTCCATGCGATTTTGCCTAAGAAACACATTTTTTGCAAACCAACTGCATTTTATATGTAATTTTAAGTAATAAATGCTTTTTGGTGAGCACGTTGTGCTAAAATATGCATGGCTGTAGACATTACTTGGCTGGAGAACTGCACTGCAAAATTCATAGAAGCTGCATTTCAAAGGATGGTTGTGTATTGGAACACACAAATTTGGTAGGTTTAACTTTGAAAGATAACATAAATTGAATTCCCCCTGCCCGTTACAAGCCACCTTAGAGGCCACTGGGCCAGGGGTGCCAACTTGAATAAAATAGGGGAGGGGGGGCTAAGTAAGCCGGTCTTGCATAATCGATCACTTGATGTTGTGCACACACAACTGCTGAATGGCAATACCCATCAAATATTTTATTGGCCCCTAGGAGTTGGATCCTATGCACTGGGCAATGTGAACAGGTGGTTTTCCCTGGCAAGTGTTCATGATTTCCTAGGGAAATGCAGCAGCGTATGAATGACACGGCTAAGTTGGAGACAGCAAGTGATGGCATTTCTCCCCCAGCCCTTCCCCTTGCAGATACATAGATCAACTGCTTCCTTCAAGTCTGATGGTACCCCCATGTCAAAGAGGATACCATGTAGCTGCTGCCTTGCAAGGAGTCATTGTCATTGGACATTGTCAGTCCATCCAGCCCAGTCCTGCCTATCCAACTGGTAGCTCTCCAAGGTCACAGGCAGCGCAGATATCCATCAACCAGAGAAGTCAAGGATTGAGCCTGGGACACTCTGCATGCAACACAATTGCATTATCCCCCTCTTTTCCCCACAAGCAACCGGCTCCTCCACAACTTTCCCCAGATGTAGTTATAATTCATTTGCACTTGGGGGCGGAGTGTTCACCAAACACCTAATTCTACAGATGCTGATGAAGAGATCCTGCTCCCAAGGCAGTCAGCATCATCAGGCCAGCCAGACATGTGACAAAGTCCTGGTTTATCATGCCCCACAAGTCAGGTCTCTCCATTGCCTGCTATACTGTTAACTTGCCTCACAGTAAGGTTGTTTCTGTAGCAGAGTAAAAGTGGTTTGAGGTTTTCTCTACAATCCAGCAATATAGAAATTTTATGAAATTAATAATGAATAAATAAAAGCAGAGGGCGGGGTGTGAGGAGCTAGAGGCATTGCAGGAGTGCCCAGTGGAATAAAATGAGGGTGCGTGGGGCAGACAGTGGGGCTGGACTCTCACCGAGAACAAGAATGCAAGAGCAAACTTGGGCTGCCTTGGTGCGTTACCTGTTCAAGCAGTTACCTGGTCATCCATGGTCAGAGCATCAGCTGGCAAGTAGCTTCAGAGGTGAAACCTCACCATGTTTGCTGCCCACAGCTTGTTTGTAGAACCCACCAGGGAAAGAGAAGCTGTGGTCCATTCAAAGAGATGCTGGATACATCCCTCTGAGAGGCATCTCCTGAAGCCCTCCGAGCTCTCTCTCCTGAATCTTGGCAGTGAGGATGCTGCAATGCTCCTCTCAGGGAGAACGTTGGTGAGAAAGTCCGTGCCTGAGTCTTGGGTAGCTAGGAGGGAGGGAGGGAGGGGCAGAGGAAGGGAGGGGGCCAGTGAAGGGGAGAGGGCCAGTTGAGCCGCCTTTTCCCCACCCCCTGGGCAACACAGCTGACAGAACTTGACCCAGTGCCAAACACACTGACTCTGCAATGGGTGGATTCTCTCTAGAGGGAAGGAGACCCTACAGGAAACAGGAGGAGCAGCAGGAGAAGTGCTGGTGGATGATGATGCCACCAAATGTGTGAACGGTTGGATCACAACATGGACCTCAGTGCCAACTTCACCCCAATTCTGTGCTTGGAAACCTCAACATCCAGAATGGTTTGGCTTTTGTGTGACTGTATTGGGCCTCCTAGGACCAAAGCATTCTACCTCCAAGCCCCTCATGCTCTAACCAGTAAGACTCCACCTTCCCTCCAGGGCAGGCCTGCGCATTTTATGGCCCACACATTGCGTAGGCCTAAACTAAGGCCATCGCCTTCTTTTCTGGCAAACCTTGGTGTGTGCATGCTTTGGCTATTAGCAGCTCCATGACAGACAGGCAATCAGAGGGGCCGGGGAAAAGCCACACCTGCTGAATGCTCTGCCTGCTCCATGCAGCTATTAAAGGCAAGGAGTCCAAAGTAGGAACTGAATGCTAACTTGGATAGAAGCAAGAAGCCCTGGATTACCAATCCAACGTGTGCACATGTGCTGCTCCCCAAGCCTTACTTTAAAGGAATGAAGTTCCTTCCTTTCTTTTCCACATCAGTTGGCACCTTATCGGACAAGGGGTTATGGGGCAGAGAGATTGTATCACCACTCCAGGCCTGAAAATCTCACTTTGGGTAACATGGGAGAGAACTATGAATGCCCACCTCCCTACCCTACTTCCCACCCTCCTCTCCAGGCCCAGGGATTCCAGTTGCGCCTTCTAAGCCACAGCTT